AACGATGCCGGCTGTATATGAGTCTCGTTTCAGAACGTCCGAAGGAGGGCTGGCGGCCTGGAAGCGAGACAGTGGCGGACGTCGCCAGCGGGTTTAGCGGGACCTAAGCATATGAATCTATGGATCCAACAATAATTCACGAGGTCCTTAGTTAGCATTGGGGAAGCCAGAGCGCGCTTGTTTCATGGAGGTTTCGGAGAGAGGATGTCTTGGAAGTTGGCATCGCAACATGTGCCGAAGAATGATCCGGCCAACCTTTGATCTAATTTTGGGCGCCTCTCGGGCGCTTATATCTTGTATCAAATCACTTGAGTGCGAGGATCCTGAGCTGATCGCAATTAATCAATTGAAACCACCAGAGTTGTCGATTCCTTGGCAGTACGGCTTATTACATGGCTCTCTATGCGGTTCACGGGCTTGACCCCCGAAGAACTTGAGGATTGAAATGTCAATCGATAAAGTTTAATGAATGCCACACAACCAATCACATCGCATTCAGCGCTTTTCCATATAAGTATTGTGCAATTGCAAATAAATGGCCGTAGCACAGCTCCGGGCTTTCCTCCGTGGTTGTAAAGAACCCCGCATCGATGCTCTAGCATATTTGAGACGCGGAGTTGTTGGCTGTAGCACCTGTGTGATACCATCTTGCGTCTGAGGCGAGGATTAGCAGAGCTGGGCTCCTGGGATATATGCGTCGTATAACTTTGTCTTTCCTTACGCCGATCCAGTATCAAACATCTTGCCTTGTGGAGACAACAAGAACTCGGACATGCCTGGATGATGAAACGTTTTTGTGGGCCAAAACAATACCTGGATCTTCCACGAACGAGGTACGAGTTTCTCTGTTGAAGCGCCTGTCTAGGAGAGACTAACCTGAATCTCCTCCCAACAATCTACCAGTCATCCACTTTCGGTCCGGGGACAACTGGGGAAGACGTCGACATCGGTTGCGCAGAATGCCAGTGCTGCGCCGGAATTAAGACGTACATCAACGTAAATCGCAACCCCCTATTTATAGCTCTTGTCGTAACTTTAAGCCATCATGATCGCCCTGACCGAATCTATGGACATTCGCGATCATGGAATTCACAAAGCCATTCTCGGTGGCAAAACTCTCCCCATTGTATGTTCGGGCATGTATGTGTACCGAAGGCGCAGTGTTGGAACATCGCCTGCTCTTTCGGTGGAGACTTAATGGCCGGTCCAAGACCACGGTTTCAAGTCGCCGCCGAGTGACGACTATCTCCTGGGCTGCACAAAACTGTCCAAGTCTCGGATCACTTCGTCGCCAGAAGACCACAAGCTTCCTGAGGAGTTTATTTAACTGTAGTCCGATATAGCCATCCCAATGTAGTGAATTTAACATAGCTTTCTTAGCGTCGGGCGCTGTGCCGTAATTATGTTGAATCGTCCTGACTCAGATTGCTGTAAATCGTGGGCACGCCCAGATTCCATTGGAGGAGATAGTCATCGGAAAATATGAGTTGGCAAAACACAAGAATAGTGGGCCGGGCACCTCCCGAATCTCCTGAGTAACTGAAGCTAGTACTCAAGCCCTTCGGAGCAATATTTAGCCTTTTATCCGAGCCTTTTATCCGGCGACTGATTGATCGATCTCAATCTCTGCGACTACCCGGAGAACATCTAGTATATGATGGCTTCCGTTCAATACACGGCAAACCCGGAATTCATTGAAATCCAATGGGCTGCCATTCCGTTGAAATCCATTGGATAATTTGATTTCCAAATTAATGTTTTTTTCACCAAGCTCTAGCCTGCTGTACAAAAAAATACGAAATATAGCGAGCAATGAAGTCCTTCACCTTCGGTCTAGAATCCGCTGCCTCAAGACACTGTAAATAATCGGCGTCAAAAATAGTGACCATTGGATTCCAATGGTTCGGCAGCCCATTGGATTTCGATGAACTCCGGGTTTGCCGTGTAGATTTGCGCCGCTTAATGGAGGCTTTCTTACGAAGACATTCTGGAAATCTGCCTCTTGCGGCCCCACATGGTCAGTTAAACCAATTTTTCTTGGAGAGGAGGATCCGAGGAGAGGGTGCCTTGGCATTGATTCAATGATGCTGAAGTCGTGTTGGGACGAGTGGGAAGAAGGTATACGGGGCTCCCTCGACAGAGAAATGCAACGCAAGGTATGACATCCACGAGTCAGTCATGATTATCAGCTGACGTCCAATCTTGTTTATGTTTTGGTTCAATAGACTCGACCAGATGAAAGGCCCAAAATTTCGTGGAATAGTTCCTTTCTCAAGTAAGAGATAACTTGCCCTCAGCCTGAAATGAGACGCCGATTATCAGCGAAATTCAAACACTCGGATAATTCGAGTTCAATCAAGATTTCGGGCCGGTGGCTGTGTATATTTGTGTGGCAAGCCGCAAGCGATTCCATAAGCGTGGCATCTCATTCTCTTACTCTCACCTTCAACTACGATGAGCGGTGGATACGGCGAGTATAGTAGCGCGCATGACGACGAGGACTCTTTGTCCGGGGATGAACAAGAGACATGGTTTGCCGGCGGAGAACGAAGGTTCGCCCACCTCATCAGCATTCAAGTGTTTTGCGTCGAACGGTTGCCTCAATCACAGCGGAATTTCTGTCCAGAATCCTGGAAGAGGGAGGGTCCCTGGTGGAGATCTAGTCCGTGATCTGCTCCGTCGGGCTGAAGAGTACCGCACCCTCTTTCTTTGTGTCCGAGATTTGCTCATCGCCCGGCGCCAGAACTGGCGCTACACCGGCAGAAGCATCACAATCGCGGTCGACCGCCTTCACCGGCGGCGGACACACGTTGGGCGGCACTGGAGTCGCTAGTTCCTATGTCCCTGATCTGAACGCCAGTGACCCTGAAGGTACGCCCACACGCGACTGCGGCACTGCCACCTATAATGTGCTCGCGCAGAAGAACTTGTCACTCGCCACATCACGTTTTGGAGAGACGGATTCACTGTCGAGGATGGCGTGCTCATGCGATACGATGATCCCGCCAACGCGGATGTATTGTCTGCCATCCACGCAGGGTAAAGTCGCTTCAGACATCGAGCCACTACCAGGCTCACGGCAATCCCTTCCACAGACATGCTCCACCGTCGATACTCAACGTTCGCATGGGCCAGCGCGTTGATGTGCAAGTCACAAAGCGCACCGACGAGGATTACGTCCCGCCGAAGGCCCCTCGCGCGTTCCAAGGCTCGGGCAACAGGCTCGGTGCACCCGTGCCCAGCACTGCTCGGCCGTCTTCTAGCTCTGCTGTTCCAGCGCAGGAGAGGGCAAGTATCACTACCCGCTTTGAGGTGGACCAGACGCTTCCGACTACGAGCGTACAGATACGATTGGCGGACGGGACCAGGTAAATTACACTGGGCTTAAATTTCCCGCCGTTGTCTAATGCTTCGTTTTTCAGAATTGTCTGCCGCATGAACTTGACGCACACCGTGCTGGATCTCAGGAACTTCATCAACGCGTATGCTCTTCCTCGTCGTTCATTTCGATGATCACGTTCTCATGCAGAAGGTTTTGACCGTGCAGATCCCGTCCAGAGAACCTCACGCGCCCGTATAGCATCGGCACCACGTTCCCGAATCGTACCCTTGACGACAATTCTGCCACGATCCAGAGTGCCGGACTCGCAAATAGCGTTATTGTGCAGCGGTGGGTATGATTTGAAGCGCCAGGCTCCTATCCAAATTCTAGGTGTAAGATACAAGTGTACATCACATCGCATCGTTTAAAGTGTTCTGTCGTCGTGTATTTCTAAGCAGGTCTCCTAGACCTCACCATTCACTCGTCTCTCGTCCTCCACGCAGCTTGAGTGGTATGGCGATAGGTTAAGGTTAGGACCGTCAAGAACTGGAAAAAAGGCCTGCGAAGCCGAGTGGCTCGCGCAGGGCAGGAAAATATTGGAACAGTGCGCAGGCAAAAGCCCACACAAGCCACAGGCATACTCTGTTTGGACGGGGTCGCCGTGCTATGGAGAGTGCCCGTGGCTCACAGACCCGGTCGATGAGGAGATCGGCGCCGTCAAGGTAAGTGAGTATCTAGGATGGAGGACTCAATGTTTTGTAACGTGAGGGGGAGAGCACGGACCAAGTGTTGTGGCATTTGTTGATTCTCGAGGCTGCGGCCAGAGTCTGAATGAGTCACAGTTCGGAGCGCGCGACCAGATACGGATGTTGACTATAGCTAGCGCTGAACTTCTGAATCATCCCCGGATGGGCGAACCAGTAGCGGTACAAAATATTACAAGAGTCTGCCAAGGCCCAAGGGAGAGAGCCCTGGTGCACAAAAGTCGATGTCGGAATCCAAAGTTCGGGCCCGGTTTAGGCAGTGCAAGGCGAGGGCAAGCAGCACCACAGGAGTGATGCAGAATTATATTTGTGAATTCCGAATCAAATCCAAGGAAATAAGGTTAGGGTTAGCTAGGCGGAAGATCGAAAAAATGGTCTGCCCAGCCGAGTGGCCGTGGCAGAACTGGAAAATATTGAGACGGTGCATGAGCCTAAGCCCACACAAGCCGCAGGCGCACTCTGTATGGACAGGGTCGCCGTGCTATGGAGTGTTCCCACGGCCCACAGACCCAGGGAGGTGAAGGGGCCTATGCCATCAAGGTAAGTATGAGTTGCACAGAACATCACACGTCGCATTTATACCATCGGGGCGCGCACGGACCATCTCCTCTAAGCGATGTTTGGCCTTGATTAGGGCCGCAAAAAAACAGTAACTACGAGTCACATGGACTAGGAGTAACTTGAATCAAGGTGGTTTCTGTTCTTCCTAGAGCTAAGTAGAGGTTTCGAGGATGCATGGGTGCGCGGAACTGTTCATTGAGAACGACGATCGATCAGCTGCCCACCAAACCTGGCCATACTCCGTTGACAGCCAAATTAGGCGATTTGCTGCACGTGTCAGTCTGACTCGACTGTTTTTCGATTGCGTGCAGTTCTTCCTGACTCGGACGAAGCCTAAAATGAGGCAAAAAGAATAGCACTGACTTGTTTCGATCAAGTGACCTCGGGGTTCGAAGAATATGAGCCTCGCGCACTTCCAGCTGTGCTACAGTGCTGTGTGATTCGTACATTTTGTTTGGATATTATTTACAGGGAAAAGATACAAGGATACATGACGTTAGTGTTTCCCATTGCGCACAAGCCCATATACTCGTATGATATTGCGTACATACATACGATGGAGAGCCTGTTAGTCAAGCCTCATCCTTTTTACACCGTCTGCGGGGGAAAAAAATAGACTGTAGTGATCATCCTGCACAAAGATGCAGATACGTACCATGCCCAGGCCCTTCGCGCTCTAGAACACAATGAGAAGCAAGGCAACATGTTATGGTCAAGGCACCCACCTGTCCGCGGCCGGATCCGCGGATCCCGTGAAATGTAGCCTGACCCAGCATGGCCAGGCCCGGACTCTTCACGCTTGACAGAATGCGACTCCGGGCCTGGGGCAAGAAAATTATAGTAATGCTATACGCTTACGAGACACCACGAACGGTTGTGGGCCTGTCCGGGGTGTTGTACCAGAGAGAAGCTTATTTTACCATCATCTTGCTCTCTCTTGACCTGACGCGAAGACTGGAGCGTTTTAGCAAATTAAAGGGTAGGAGACATCCTGTAACACACCGACGGGTTGATTGTGGTACTATTGTATCCTGCTCGGTCACGATCTGTGCAACGGTGGGAATCATTTCGAAATCATGAACGAAAATCACATACGACGCTCGTCTTGTGCTTGCGGATAGTGGACGCTCTCCCGTCGGTCATGAGCTGTCAGACCCTGGGTGAATGGAAAACGATCCACAACTACAAATAGAACGTACGAGATGGTCCACCAGATCCCCGACCAGGGTAGTCTTTGTTATATTCCTCCGTCGGCCGTTCAGGAAAAGAGGTCGCGCCCGACGGCGCAGATGTCCGATAAGGCCCATCTCGTTGGCGGCTCCCTGGTGCGTCAATGAGCGCTCAATGAAAGCATGTAGCAGTAAACAGACTTGCTGTGATCATCTCGGTCGGCACCGTCTACGTTTTCACGTTTGATATGATGGACTAGTGGTGTAGTCGAGAAATGATGGGCTGCAGTTTCCAAAGACGAGCGAGGACTTACGAGGAGGGTCCGTCGGTTCGCGTTTGGTATACTTATCAGGTGTGTTGCGGGACCGACCGTGAGACGTGGGATCCGCCAGGGTGGTCGTGTGATATCTTCCATCTTGCTGCGACTGACCGCTCCATACTATTTCTGCCTGTCAACAGACAGACATCATTTCGGAGAAAAAAAGACCTCACCCCTTCCCGAGTCCTCCTGCTTGACCCGCTGTGGCGGTGAGTACGTGCGCGAGCTCGCAGTCACCGGAGGCGCGTGTGATTCCCTGTACACGCCGCGGCTGTTCACTGCAGCAGGGGTCAACGTGTTTCACTTCGAACAAAATACTCGGCGCTCACAATCGTCTTCTTCATCCATCACACCAACCTGGACGCTCGCCTGATAGCGCGAGAACGTGTCCAGCAGTTCTTGCGACGGCTCATACGCGTCCGGATCGGTCTTGATCGCAGGACGGCGGAACGGCATTGGATGATCATCCTGTTCTTTCTTCACATGCGAGGTCGACGAAGACGACAGTGTTCGATCATCCTCAGGCTCGGGTTTGACGCGGATTTTGGGGTCAGCCTGCGGCTCGGACTTGACGAGGATCTGGGAGTCATCCTGCGGCTTGACGCGATAATCTGGAGCCGACCGATACGCGGGGGAAGAGCTTGTCAGCGATCGGCTGGCTTGTGCGCGGCTGAATGCAAGGAACTTCTCGCCGGTCGTGAGGAGATCCGGGTGGTACGCTTCTTGCTTGACAGGCAGGCTATCGACGTACTCGGACTTGATAGATACAGAATCATGTTCCTGTTTAACGGAGGGGATAAACGAGGAGTCCTCGGATTTCACGGTCGTGAGGGAACGCAATTGATCCAGTGCATCGGCCTCTGCATCCCAGAATAATTGAATTAGTTTAGTCTCCAGCTAGATGAGGCGAGCCGACTGACCTTCCTCGTACGGATCGCGCTTGTGGACTAGCTTACCTGGTGGCGGGCTTGGAGTCGGACTGGGAGAGGCGGGGCTGAGGCTTCGCGCAAGATGCGTAGTTACGGGGAAGTGCGGCGGACGCTCGTATGGTGTAAAAGCGAACTATCGGAAAATCAGAAAGCGGGGAAGCGAATAACGACAGGCACTTGCTTCCGACTGCGGGGGCTGCTCTCCAGTTGCGGGTGATCCACTGCGCAGCGCAGAAGGCTCGGCCCCAGGCGGATGTCCTTTCGAGCGCGAGGACGAAGCCGTGTTCGCATTTGCGAGGAAGTTCTTGTCATTGTGGTTTGCTGAGGGTGGTACAAGTGCAGGCGCATGGGCAGAAGGCTGCGGTAGGGTTGTTGGTGGCGGCGCGGGTTGCAGTGGGATTGGGACGCAGTCCGGATGTCCCTCGCGCAAGCGTGTCGGCAGAGGTTTGCACCACTTGAGCTGTGTTACATTCTTCGGAACCCCAGGAGGAGGATACATCTGGCGCGTCGGTATAAGCGGATCTCCGCGTTTCACAGGAAAGTTGTCAGGCAAAGAGGTGTATGTGGCGGACGCGGCGTTCCAGTCTATTCAGGCAAAACTTGAATGAGGGGCAAAGATTTTATGATAACGCCTACTCGTTTTATCAGGATGGTTCTGCCTCTCGAGGTTGTATTCCCACACGACAATCGTGTGGTCGCCATGGCCGGCGTATTCTGGGATTAAGAATTGGGACGATCGATGCGCACCGAGAATTTGAGATAAAATAACAGCAAGATCTTCTCCGCTTGCAGGAAGAGGAATTTCGATGTCAGCAATCAGATCGCGGTGCTAGGTGGAAAGATGAGGGTGATGACCAGGTATGTAGCGTTGTCAGGTCTTACGGTAGATTGCCAATAAATAACGAGCTGGGTCGTGGATATATCAAGGTCGCACAGGTCGTGGATCATGAAAGATAGCCAAGCTGCGACCGCATTGAAGAAAGACTGGGAATTAGACGTCGGCGATGTCCCAAAAGGCCACGGGTTTTGTAAAACAAAAAAGTAGTGGTTTTTCGGAACGCGATACGTCTGTTCCCAGATAAATATGGCGCCTGACAGAGAGCTTATCGAGTCCAGTTACCTGAAATTTTAGAGGTTTTGACTTCGAATTGCCTTTCGCCATAGTAGGATTTGAGGCAGATCTACGGTGATCGAATGTGGAGAATAGTGAGATTGAAGAGAAGAAATTGAAGCAAAGTTGCTTAAAATTCGAAAGCAGGGTCGATATAAGAGGAGCGATAACAGCACAACGTGAAAACGGTTGTGTGTGGGATCGGATTATGCGACAGTGCAGCGATTTCGAGAGCTAGACGTAAATTTTATAGACGGAAAAATCTGTCCATGTTGAAAGAGTGAACTCCAATGACTTTGAAAAACGATTGGAACTGCAGAGTCCAAAGTGGTGGCTGGTAGTGGTGAGAGTTCTAGAAAAATGTCTCTTTGTTTACTTTTGATTGAGGTCGAGGGCAACGACCCCCATATCCTCCCTTCCTGCTCTCACACGAACTTGCTGCCAGACCCACAGAATGTCGAAGAAAGCTGGCCCAAGTGCTCCGAAAAAGCCTCAACCGCCTCCCTCATCCAACTGGCTTGCTTTGCAAAAAGTTTCAGCCCTTTTTTCTATGCCCGAATTCGAGTTTTTCTAATATACTCTCAAGGTGCTCCCAAAGTCTACGCGAAAAAGCGACTCCCAGGACTTCCCGCGTAAACGTAGGAAGATTGAACACTCGCGCTCGCCGCCGCCTCGTACTAGCTCAGATGTCGCGCCAACTAAAACACCACCTCCGGCTCTTGCTGAGGCTGTCGTTGGCTCTACCTCGGAGATGAAGAACGGAGAGTCTCTCCCATACTTGCGCAAGATGATATTTGGGAACATGGAGTACACCGATGCGCAACGACAGTGCGTTTTGTCGACATTTTTCGCTTCCTGCAATATCTGATATACATCACGGCTCAGACCCGGCAAATACCTCGCCCTCGATTGCGAGATGGTAGGAGTTGGACCCGAGGGCGCAGAATCCTCTCTCGCGCGCGTCAGTCTGGTCAATTACCATGGGGTGGTTATGGTGGACGAATTCGTGCGGCAGCGCGAACGGGTCGTGGACTATCGCACGGAGTTCAGTGGCGTACGAGAATCTGACATGATCAAAGGTCGGTTTCGCTGTTTCCTCCACCACACCCTATCTTTACACCGTCTACCAGCAATGCCGTTTGACCAAATCCAGAAGCAAGTCGCCGAGCTGCTGAAGGATCGCATTCTTGTCGGGCACGCTGTATTCAATGACCTCAAGGTACGTCGCTCTCTCCTCCCCTGTTTCCATGCAGCACTGATTCTATTCTGCCATCCTCATCTCTAGGTCCTATTCCTGTCGCACCCACGGCCGCAAACGCGCGACACGCAGCACTACGCGGGTAAATTCAAGGTCGCGAAGAGTAAATACGTCGCGTTGCGGAACCTCGTTAAGCAGGAGCTCAACGTTTCAATCCAGGGCGGAGAGCATTCGAGCGTGAGTAGCGTTCTTGCTTCCTACTTCACCATCTCCCTATCTTATCTCTATATGTATCCCGCACTGACAACTTTGCGGACGGCAGGTGACGGACGCACGCGCAACGATGGCCGTGTACCGTTTGCATAGGAAGGAGTGGGAGAAGGGCGCCGCGCCGCTCAAACGGCCGCTGGCGACGGACGGGAAGAAGCGGAGCATGGACACCGTGGAAGGCGAGGGGAGTGACGACGAGACCGACGATGCGGCGGAGGAGCCTGTGAAGGGTAAAAAGGTGTCCGGCTTTCCTGGCGGCGGGCGGAAGGGCGTGAGCTCTGGGCTGTCGACGGTGGTTAAGCGGGGTGGTGAAGGCAGTGGCCGAGGCCCGGGGTGGCTGCTACAAGTGGGGTGAAGTCACAGTGGTGGAAGGAACTCGGAGGCAGTGGAGGTGGAGGATCGACCAAGGGCTCGAAGGGGTCTATCAGGCTGAATGC